ATGGAGTTTGGAACTCAGGCTAAGCCCATTTCTTCTGGAATTCTGCCCCATTTCAGGGAAGAGGGTGTCATAGTGGTAATATCACTGGACAAGTAATCCAGAGGCACGGACTAATGTCCTGGGGGAAGCAGGCTATAGCAGTCAGTGGAATTTAAGTTCAATTCATAAATCTAGAATATACGGCTAGTCTCAGTCATGATGACCATAACAAAGATCATTGATTGTTGTAAAAACCCATCTGGTTCCCTCACATCCATTAGGAAGAGAACATATGATTATACTAACATACAAAACATCTGAAGTAGGAGCAGAAATAGACCATTCAGACCCTTGTGCCTGCTTCATCATTCAATAAGATTGTGGCTGATCTGTTAATTTTTCGAATTCCATGTTCTGAACTACACATGACCTTTCAAATCCTGGCCTATCAAGAACCTCTCCACCTCTGCTTTGAAAATATTTAATGGCCTTGCCTCCACTTCCTTATGAAGCAGAGTTCCAAACTTGCAAAACATTTTCAGAGAGATAAATTCTCCTCCCCTCTGTCCTAAAAGGGCGTTATTTTAAAATGGCAGCCCTAGTTCTGAACTGAGCCACCAGATGAAACATCCTTTCCACATGCATCTTGTCAAGACCATTCAAGAGCATCTTCTTCACATTTTTCTTCCTAACTATTTTTGTTGTCATCTGCAAATTCAGCTACGATGCTTTCACTGGTCTCATCTACGGCAGTAACGTAAATTGAAAAAGGTTGAGGCCCGAGGTCAGAATCCTGCAGAATTCCACTCATCATATTCTGTTAATCAGACAAAGACCCATCAATGTATACTGTCTGTTTTTTGCCAGCCAGCCAATCTTCTAGTCATGCTAGTACATTACCCCCCTACACCAGTGTTTTCCTTTCTGCAGTAATCTGGAAATCTGGAATTAAGAAGGAAATATTCTGTCCTTACCTTGTCTGACTGACACAGGACTGCAAATCTACAGCAATGTGATACTCATAACTGCCCTCTGAAATGGCCCAGCAAGCCACTCAGTTCAGGGACAATGAGGTATGGACAACAAATATGAAGGAGACCACAGGAAAGATCCAAGACCTGGCATTGTAAGGGCAATTTATCCTGGTTTTAATAAGCATAACGCACAACATGTGCACAGACTTCAAATGTTGAAACATATTTTGTTTTTGTTATCAAAACTGCTGGTTTGTGTGTTTCAAACGGTGGTCCTTATAATGATGGGTGTTGCATTAACACTAATGGTAGAGAGGGTGAGCTATCAGACCTGATGGGTTACAGTTTTAACAATGCCTAAGTGTGTAAGTGTATGCGCTGCTGTGTCCTGCCATTTCAGAACATTCCACAATCGATCTTTCGTCTGTCATGAATTAACTGATCTCGATCAGGGTCCCCATTGCACTACTGTAGGCTCCAGTGCCCTTTGACTAAGGAGGAGCAAAAATCAGTCAGACTTGCATGTCCTGCATGTTTGTGGACATCAAGGGAGATGGAGTTGGACCTGGACATGGTGCCCTGCATTGGGTTCCCTGCACAATAGCGCTTGAGTTTGCAATGGAGGAGTGAATGGGAATACCAGAGAGTTCCTCATCAAATGGAACTGTACCACTTCGCTTTCAGGAGGACAGACTCACACAGAAAAAGGGAAATCAACGCATGATATTATTTAAAGTAAAAGTTATGAAATAACAAGGAAATGCAACGTAAAAGGGTTGTAGTGTGATTTCTGCATCGTAGTATATACAATTACATTGAAGATTCATACCAAACCACAGCACCAGATAGTGAACAGTGGATAGTTGGACTACAACCTGGTCCTCTGATTGAGTTGCTCAAACAATGTGATAAATGCCGATAGAGAAACATGATCAGTTTTGTTGAATGCTGGGGTCAGAATACAAACACACAAATCTAAATTTAATTTCTTATAAAATAGTTCATGAACTCCATGGGGGTGGTTTTGCATTGACTGGAATCTGTTCTGTTTCATGTGTCAATACAGCAGTTTTCTGTTTAATTAGTAAGCGGAAATAAACTCTATTTAAACCGATAATTGAAGACATTTGTCCCAAAGGACTAAAAAAAAGCATGCTATAAAATCCATGGATGTTTTTCAAAAAACTAATTAACAGTTGAATACCAAGTGATAATATTTGTATAGCATCTCTGTTTTAATTAAACCCTTATTCGTGAATGGATAAAGTTAACCCTGCCAATGCCAATACTTGCAGGTGACTGTTTACTATTTTGATTTAGGAAGCATTTTGTTTAAAATAAATAGATTATGCATTAACATAGCGGACATGCAAAAAGCCTCCATTCACAAATATTGTGCAAGTCATTTTTGCCTTCTATTGTACTGTCAACATTTTCTTAAATTTTCTAGCTAGATTGACCATCGATTTTCATTTTCCTTTCAAAATGTGCCTTGCATGACTTTCATTGTACCAAGATTTGGTTAGTTTTAATAGGTTCAATTTTCTCCCAATTCCTTGACTAACCCCTCCCATCAAATGTTAGATGTAACATGAGATTTGAACACATGGACAGTCCAAAGACAATGAAGTAGGGATTCTTTGATTCTTTAGCAGCAGGTCATTAGAAATATAAAGGAGAATTAAGGATAAATGAAGAACTATTTATAGTATTTGTATGGAATGAGCATTTAGGGTGTAAATGAGAGTGAAACTTGGCGGAGAGCCATTTCTTTTATGCCTCTGCGCTGCCCACCATGCACCATGTTCTTTTTGGGATTAAATATAGAGTCATAGAGAAGTACAGCACGGAAACAGGCCCTGCAGTCCAACTCGTCCATGCCACCAGATATCCCAAAAAAATCTAGTCCCATTTGGCCCATATCCCTCTAAACCCTTCCTATTCATATACACATCCAGATGCCTTTTAAATGTTGTAACTGTACCAGCCTCCACCAGGAAAGGAATTCTTTGTCTGTCAGTTCCCACTTCCATCAGTCCTTCATCTACTAAAGACACTCTTTTTTCTAGCGGGAATCCATTCAACTGCCCCAGCTGCCCTCCCTCACCTTCACCACCTGCTGGAAGAGGTCCTGGCAAATTGCCCAGATCCCTTGCTCAGTGACCTCCATTACAGTCATTACCTATTGAAGGTCCTGTCACACAGAGAATTTGGCCAAATTGAAAATCTCAGCAATCACAGCTTCTGCTTCTAGAGGACGATAAGAAGGTGGGTAAATTGGTTAGTTCTCCCAATCAATCACATTTAGCAGACACAATGTGTTGGTAACTAATTGGTCACCTCAGTTACACCCTAGAACGTTGGGTAGCACATCATTTATGTATATTTTTCCTTTGACATACATTGGCACCATTGTGCCTGTGACAGAATATGACTGCATGTACTCCTGCAGCAATTTGCAGATCACATGCTGCTCCTAATTATAGGTTGAGAAAAGCCCTTGAGAACCAATAAATGCATTATTCTGAGTCAGATCAGCAAGTTGCCCTGCTCCCACTACAATGTACCATTTCTCTATCATCCTGAAAAAACCTCCTGTTCCTCTAGAGCTCTGTTGTTCTGTCAGTGAGGCAACGTAAAAATGGGATTCCAACTGAAATCTCTGCAGAATGGTGCGCAATAAGCAATTCTCACTGCTTCAGTAATGTTTTTGTTTGCAGTGCCCTCCTTGCAAAACTAGTTTAAGAAATGCACACAAGTAACAACAAATTTAACACCAGATAGTGGCTGAAATGCTGTGCAGCATCTAGGAATGTTTAGTTTTTCTGTGGAAACAGTTTGCCTCTAGTCTGCAACCAGCAGAAATAGAAGAATGATGGCTATTGGGGTCATTGTATCATTTGATGGACATTAAAATAAGAATATTTGTGCTGTTACTCTTTCCAGTGCTTTGGATCACATAAAGTTGGTGTGTGTTTGAAATGAGCTGCGAGAGGAAGTGGTGGAGGCTGGTACAGTTACAACATTTAAAAGGCATCTGGATGTGTATATGAATAGGAAGGGTTTGGAGGGACTAGATGGCCAAATGGGACTAGATTTTTTTGGGATATCTGGTCAGCATGGACGAGTTGGGCTGAAGGGTCTGTTTCCATGCTGTACTTCTCTATGATTCTATATCTAATCCCAAAAAGAACATGGTGCATGGTGGGCAGCGCAGAGGCATAAAGAAATGGCTCTCCGCTAAGTTTCACACTCACTTACACCTTAAAACCATCTGCTTTTGGCTACACAGCAGAGGAGTAATCACTGAAATAAAATGAATATCTGAAGATGCTGGAGGTCTGAAGCCAAAACAGAAAGTGCTGAAACATTAACTTCTGTTCTGTTCTTCACACTTGCTGTCAGGCCTGCTGAGGAATAATCAGTTATATTCAAAGACTGAGATGATAAGTCTGTCAAGACTTGGTTTTGTTGCTTCAGATAAAGGATCTGTGCTCAATTCACTTTACAGCACTTTTGCTTTGAAAATAAAACACAGGCT